TAATTTCTAAAAACTAAATGTTAACATGTTTGGTAAAAGTTGGCAACAATTTCAAATCAAATTAAAAAATAATTTTGAAGTTTAAATTAGGGGTTCTCCAACGGACAGCAATATGAAGCCAGCCCACAAGCATAATAAATCATGTCCTCGGTAGCAGGCCTGTTACGATTATCTATATTGGATTTGGATTATGTATATTGTATTCCAAAATTAAAAATGTGAGTAAGTCTTTTAAAATATTAATCGAAACAAAACCAATAACAGACATGCGCAATGTTTAAAATATCTAACCAGCTTAACCAATAACCGACATATCGAATGTTTAAATTGTAATTAATAATTAAAATTTAACTTTCAATTTGTGACATACTCATGTCATAGATATTTAATGTCGTAGATATCTCACGCGACAATTTGCTCACATTTCAAAATTAACAGTAATTTGATATGGTCACCCAGCTCGCTAATAGTATTCGAAATATTCAAAATGCTTTGTGTAATGCATTGTATAAAAATTCAGGATCTATTTACGGTAAAAAGTACCAACACTCAGAGTGCCATTACTTTTTTCTTTAAAATCCATTTTTAATGGAACATGTTTTAGAACAAAAAATCTAATCTGATATACCGTAATTTTTATAGTAATAATAACTATAAAATAACTCAATCACTTAAACTAAATAAATATTACTGACAAAATTGAGGTATGATATTTTGCTATAAAAATGGATTTTGCGGATGAAGCACACAAAGTGCCGGTACTTCATATTGGAATTTTATCCGGAATTTTATACAGTGTTGAAAATCAAGAAGATAGGAGTGTTTTTGAAAATGCCTAAAATATAGAAAAAATATAAACACTAGCCACATGGAGAGTGAACAAAACAAGTGTTGACTAAAATTAACTAAACAACCGGTCAACAAATTTTTCTTTAAAATGTCCAATGTCTCCATAAAAAATTTTAATTTTTCAGAATCCATCAATTTTTAATTAAAAAAAATAAATAAAAGAAAATAATAAGATTCTTGTGGAAGAAGAGTTCTTAAACAATTCACAAAATTCAAAGTTGTAATTTATACAACAAATTATTTTGCCTCGCCAAATATTTTTAAATAAAGTTCTTTAAATTCAGTACGTTTAACTAAATTTTGTCACATATCTGTATTATATAAAACGCTAATACGTATGTATCAATAAAACCGATGATATTTCTTTTCTCGCGTTGGCAACAGTTTTCATTTTTAATTGATAGGATTCGGCGCGCAAGAGCACGTAGTGAGCATCATATGGCTAATCTATATTATATAAAACGCTAATACGTTTTAATTGATAGGCTTCGGCGCGCAAGAGCACGCAGTGAGCATCATATGTCTAATCGGGAGAATTCTCACCGAATTATCAAAAAAATTCTCACAAAATTATCTTCATCGATGCCGATGCTTTACATCCGGCTTTTGGTACTATTTCATATTGTTTTACAACACATGGTTTTAGCCCTCTGGTGGGAAAGACTTTAAAACAAAACTTACAACAGTTACTTTTCGCAAAAACTGAAATTTAGAATAGTGTGATTAAGAAAAATATGTGAACTGTTTGCAATTTCAAATTAATATTGAAATGCACAGGTTTAGAATTTTCTACAGTGAAAAGTTTTCGGAACTTCAGTGTTCAAAAAAGTATACAAAAGCTAGACGTTAAGAACGTATCCAACGAGCGAGCGAAGCGAAAATCGGATTGCGAAGCAATCCGAAATGAACTGCGAAAGCAGTTCCGGGGGTTGGCGAGCGCGAGCGAGCAGGGGGCGAAGCCTCCTAGCTTATTTTATTTTTCGTTAATTACCTTTTTATAGCCGTAGATTATTTCTAATATGAATTTGTTTTTACAAATGCAATTTAATCCAAGCGAAAAAAAGGATTGCAGAAAGTTGCCCTTAAATTAAAAGAATCTATCGATATTAGTCATCGATTGGTTAGGTTTGAAGTGAATACAAAGTTATAAGAGTCTACCGGCCACTGGCTACTAACTGAAACTTTATATTTTCACGTCTACTTAAATGGTTTTAAAATAGTAAAACTGAGTAGTTTTTCTTGAATTTTTAAAATCTCAGACTGACCTTTGTCCTCCTGTACCTAAAATAATACTTTTACTGGCTACGACTTGACCCTTTAGTGTTGGAGCCTGAGTGGCTTTTAAGCTATGAATTTGGTGGTACATGTTTTAAAAAAGGAATATAATGCATATAATATGACTTGTATGAAGTTAGTTTCATAAGGATTGATTGTACCTTTCAACTACTAATTATTTTTTTCTTATTCCTTAAATCTTAAAAAGAAAAAAGCGCCAAGATAAAATTACTGCTTTAGGATGGTCTAATAGCTATGCATGGCAACTCAATAATTGCTCTTCAAAGTTCACTAAACACAGGACGCATTGAAATAGATTCATTTGAAATTTAAATGTGTGAAATCATCGCTTCCAAATGTACGCATTTAAATAAATTTAAAGATAAATTCCAAGAACAGATTCCGATATTTGAAGTATAAAATAAACATGAAATAAAATTTTAAAAAAAAAAATCATATCCGAAAACAGGTTTAGTCTTCCATATTAACCCTCTTAGTCAGCTAAATTTACACACTTCTAAAGTGGCACATTTTATTACATATCTGTCAACACTCTGAACCTGTTCAGCTTATTCGCTCAGAACTCAACAGCCGGGACACTGTGAAAATTCTCGAGCACGTTCATATGTCATTTGTTTAATTCGTTCTCTGCTAAAGAACGAAGGTCAATTTCGTTAAAAATGCCCCGGAGTTCTAAGATGCCATATTTAATATTAAAGGGAGGGTTTTTCTTCGAGTCTGGAGTCTAATACAAATGAACGTAAGGGATAGAATAACATGTGTATGAAGCTGAGAACTACATGTTGACTTAAGTTTTGGTTTATTTTCAATTTATACAAGCCGTGGTCTGATAAGGCATGATTTAGACGACAGCGGTGGAATTAATAAGTTCTATTTTCAGATTTACGCTGTGTGTTTCTTTCTTTCTTTCTTGAATCAAATCAACTCTTTCATTCTGAAAATAGACGGAATGGGCGATAACAGAGTTATTTTTGTGATTTTTTTTAATGCAAAGATTTTATGGTTTCTGAATGAGTAAAATGATGCTTAAGTAATTTATGTTCCTAATCGTTAAGTCGTAAAAGTTATCTAATGAATTAATTTGGTAATTACACTATCGTTAGTTACACTATCTTTTACTGTAAATAAATTTGCTTTAGACATGCGTTGGTGGTGTCTGGTGTGTTTTTTTTCTAGGCGTTTATCAGTTGTGATGATAGGGGAAACATAATAAGCCACGGGTTGAATAAAGGTATGAAGGAGCATGAGGCTGATATGTAATTTGGAGCTGTACCTACCTTTTCCAAAATTAGCCGAAATTCAGAAATATTGAAACATTTTATGTAATTCAATTCTAGTTTATGTTATTTTTTTAAAATTCAAGAAGGAAAAGCCTATCGAAATTTTTACAAAACTAACTATATTAAACATTAAAATACGACTAGAAGTCTTAATCAGCAAAAACATTCTGTGTGACAGTAAAAATGTTAGAAAGTTGCAAGAAATATTAAAAATTGAAGTAAAATTATAAATTTTCGTTTTTGCTAAATTTGTTATATTTTTAACAACCACACATTCCCAGGAAATTGTAAGTGTTTTGTAGATGGTTGCAGAAAATTAGTTTAAAAAAAAAATAAATAAAATTGCGACTTGAAGCAAAAGAAGATAATGGATAAAATTAGGGAGTGAGTGGTGCACGTTAAATCTGTCGGATCACAGAGTCCTCGATGTTCCCATGACAAATTATACCTCTGGGGGTACTGAATTGAGATTGATCGTACTCTGGTTCAGGACAAAATTACGATCTGTGGATGAATGTATGAATGGATCCGCCCTATAAACGGGTGAAACGTATGGGTGTGGCAGAAGTCGAATTCTTGACCATAGATGGCGCCACTGGAAAACGACAATCGCACCCCTCGCCTTAATGGCCTACAATAACAACAACAGGAAGTTGAGTGCGGGGTTTTAAAAAATCATAACTAAATGTCATTTTTTTCTGAATTTTGCACTCAAAATACAGAATACCTTTATAACGTTTTTTAACAGAAAATTGCTGAACAATACGGATGAAAATATCCTTTTTCTCCGAAAAATACAAAAATCTAATTTCGAAGGTCCCTTGTGGGGTCCTAAAATTTTTGGGAGCCTGAGGTTATAACCCCAGTATCTTCCCTCTAAATCCGGCCCTGCATAAGTCATGTTTTTAATTGTATAAGCTATTGTTTTTGATGATAAGCATCACGATTTGCATGCTGGCAATAAGATGAACTACTGGAAATTCTGGAGGCGTCTCAAATCATTATTAAAAAAAAAAAAATTCTAGTGAGCACATTAACTTAAATTTATGTCACTTTTGCAAAAAGTGAAGCTTTAAACTATACTGATCCATGCTTTTCAGCGGAAAAGCGTAGTCTTAAAAGTTTGTTTTTGTGTGAAATTTGAAACATAAGCCTCAAAAAACATTACAACATCAAGAAATTTTATATGAAATAGATTTCCCCTTAAATCCGTCTTATTTTATGACCTGGGAGAAAAACATATTTTCTTTTGGTAACATGTTTGTAAACCTAGATTTGAACGCATTTTTGGAATGACAATTGTAACCTTCTTTCGTTTGTATTCAATATAGCGAAACATCGAAAAACCAGCTTTACTCTTTTATGTACCAAATGCAAGATATTTTTGTAGCACTGCGGAAATGTTTATATTTCGTAGCTGCATTGAAGTAAAGCGAACAGCCTAAAATCCAACGTACAAATTTTTTTGCAAATCATCCTTTTCAAAACTTAAAGCTTGTAAAAAAAAATTGTTTGCCTGATTTAAATTTTTTTAAATATTTCAAAATCGCTAATTAAAATTTTTTCTTTTTCTAGGGAAGTGGTGATGGAAGAGGTGACGTTGGGATTGAAGAAATTGATGTAAGTTATTTTTTTAAACGAAAAACTCTCATGTGTTTATAAATATTTTTAAAAAAAACCTTAATCAGACTAATTTCTAATTTTCAAGGAGTTAGTCTAAGTTTAATAATAATTGAGTATAATAGTAAGTGCATATTATATTAAGGCTAGACGGCTCCTCTCCCCAGCCCCCATGATTTCTCATCAATGTTTCGCCCTAAAATGTCGATATTTTTCAAGAAAAACAAATTTATATGAACTAAGTGAAAGAAAATTTTGCTAATAAAATATATTTTGTTATAATCTATATTATATCATGCATATTATAACATAATACGTATATTGTGGAAAAAAATGATAAATCTTCTTTGTGCTAGCAACCAAGAATGTAAATTAAAATATCAAGTAAGCGAGCAGTTGTTGGCATAAAGATTTAAACGTATATCTTTCCAAATTTCTGCTTAAAAATTATTTTCGAGTGTGGACAACGAGAAGTTGAATGAACTGAGCTGCAAGTTCGGCAGAAAGGAAAGGTTTAAAACAAATAATTCCTACCGACAAATACACTTTTATTTTAATGCATGTTTAAAAATATGTTACAGCTTTATTTTAGTTTTAATGATGTAATATGATTACAAAGGGAAAGATGTGTTTTATCAACGAAGATCAATCAACTATTTTTTTTCTTTCTTTTTCTTACATTGTCCTTGGTTTTTATTCATTTTTCGAGTCTATGTTTTAATAAAGATGTTATGAGTTTATGTAAGAATAATGAATATGTCGTGTCCCTAAACACTAAAATTAATAATTTAGTATACATAAAATCTTAATTTATCTAAATGAAATGAGATATTTATAAATCAATTATTCCACAGAATCTGGGTCCATAAATATTGCTTATTTTTATCACTTTATTTTTAAATAATCAGCATGTATACAAATCTATAGTAAAACACACAGATATCGTAGTGATCGTAGTGAGCTCGAATTGCCAAGCAATCCAGGGGAATGTCGAGTAGAGCGAGCAGGCGGTTGGACCCCGCGTAATTAATTAAAAAATCGCATGTTGAATGCAACTTGATTAGTAAGTCTTGAGAAATCAATTTGCTTTAAATATGCATAAACTAGTAAACATTAAATGTAAATGTAGAAAATCAACGGATTCAAGATTTATTTAAAAAATCCTGATTTCACTTGGATTAATCATGTCCTGTAAGACTATATGAATCATAGTTAAGATAGTTATTTCCTACATCATGTCAATCCGCAAAATATTTGTGTTCCTCCTATTATAAAATTGTTTCTGACGTATTAATTACAAAGAAATTAATTCATATTGTCACCTGTCTTATTCTTTTTGATTTGTACAAGTTTTCTTTAAGGATATTGAATACAAATAAGGCTGTGATTAGAATAAACTCAAGTGGAAATCTTACTCCGCTTAACTTCCTCCTTCAAATACGGATTTATTATTTTGATTGCTTGAATTATATCTAAATCACGTGACTCCTATTACTTTATTCAGATATTGAAAGTTCCGCAAACCGAGACTGTAATAGCTATAATTAGAGAAACAATGTAAATGATTTTAATCGAATTGGATCTCGTTCTTTTAACAATTGTGCATTCAGTTCTCGACTTTTATACTCTTGCAACTAAATATATGCTATTATTTTGATTTAGTTGCCAAATTATGTATTCATATTTTTTCTTTAATTTTTAGAAACAGTTTTACCTCTGATTAAAGTAATATAGTTTTAGGATAATGGAATCTTTTATTAGTAAGAAAAATAAATTTGAAGACAAGAATCGTTTGTTTTAAAAAAATAAAGAAAGAAAGTTAGAGAATAAAATAAATATAATTAGGGAAACTATGTAAATGATTTACTCGAATTGGAATTTTAATCGAATTCTTTTAACAATCATGCATTTACTTCTCGAATTTTATACGTCTTTTTCAATTAAATATTAGCAATTATTTTGATTTTGTTGCCAAATTATGTATTCTTTTTTTTTTCTTTAATTTTTAAAAACAATTTTAGCTCTGATTTAAGTAATATAGTTTAAGGATGATAGAATTTTTTATTAGTAAGAAAAATAAATTTGAAGATAGGAATTGCTAGCTTTAAAATAAATTTTAAAAAATTGGACAGTCACGTTTCAACACACAATTATTTTGATCTAGTTGCCAAAATATATATTCTTATTTTTTTTTTTAATTTTTAAAAACAATTTTAGTTCTAATTTGCAAAAGTAATCTAGTTTTAGGATAAAAGTATTTTTGATTAGCAAAAATAAATAAATTTTAAGACTGGAATTGCTTGTTTTAGAATGAGTAAATAAATCGGAAATTCACGTCTTGCCGTTCATTCGACTCTTGCAACTAAATGTATACAATTATTTTAATTTAGTTGTCAAGATGTATTCATATTCTTTCTTTTATAAAAATTACATATTCTCTGTTTTGCGAAAATAATATCTCTTTGGCTTGATTGTATTTTCCGCTACTTTAGAAAAAAAAATGTTAGAATAGAATTGCTAATCTGAAAATAAATAAATGAATTGAACTTTCACTTTTCTCAATTTTCTTTCGGCTCTTAGAACTATTATAAACAATTATACTCATTTGCTTTCAGAATATATTCTTCCTTTTTTTTTAGTTTTTAGAAATGATTTAAGCTCTGATAGTAATATATTTTTAGAAAATGGTATTTCTTTTATTTGTTTTTTTTTTATTAAGTGAGAAAATTTTTTATTACTTATTAAATAGCAAATTTCCAAAATGTCTGAAAAAACCATAATGTATGTCTATGTAGAATAGTAAGACAAAAAATATCAATAATAAATTTAAAAACTTCTCCCCCTTCCTAACTTTTTTTTTACTATTTTCTTTAAGTGCATATAGAATTATTTTCCTAACAAAGTGAATGACGAATATAATTTGGGTAATAACAAACTGTGACTTGCCAAAGATTAAGATAAAATATTCAATTATGATGAATGTACTACCTTAGCAATAACATGATCTACCTTTCCTTATTAATATTCAATCAAGGCGAATTTACCTTAACACATTATTTTCGTAAACGAAGCAAAATTATTCCTCTGTAGTGTGTAATTTTTACTGGCAAACGTGCAGTTACTTAAGAGTGCAAGTTTAGGAAGTTTTATAAACAGCTGTTGTTAGCAAAATTGCGATAATTGAAAAAAAAAGTATCCTTTCCTCGTAAAGGATTTGAATTTAGTTTTTTAGTTTTCAAATTTATTTTTAAAGTACATTATTCTGAAACCTGTTAATATTAATTTCACTTCGATCAGCCTAGTAATATTAATTTCACTTTTTGCATTTTTCGCTATATCGTGGAAATTTTTTAAGGGCATCGAAACTTAGTAACTCATATGTATAAAATTTATTTATCTAAATGTAAAAAAAAATAAAAACTAATTTCTAATAATTTATTGTTTTTCATTATTTTATAATGATCAAAACATTTTTGAAATGTAAGGTATGCAATTTTTATACTATATTGACAAAATACAAAATTCAGAAAAAATACAAAATTTAGAAAAAAAATCGAATGATTTTTGAAAAATAAGAGATTAAAAAACGTTGTTTTTTTCTCAAAAATTTATTTTTTAGAAATCAATTTTTTTGTAGTCATTTACAATAACAGCCTAAAATAATGTAAAATTTTGCAAATTCCTAAAAATTACGTTACTATTAAAAAAAATTTTGACCCGGAAGTAAAATAATAAATAATTATTGAAATGTAATTCTTTAAATGGAATTATATTTGAATAAATGAATTTTACAATTGCGCACAAAAAAAAAATTCCGAGTTGTGACAAAATACCCAAAAAATGAAATTATTAACGGGCACAAACTTACTGCAATCCTGACTAAACTATTGTGACCATATTTTTAAGATTTTACCCATATTTTGAGTGTGATCGTTAAATCTGTCGCGGCGGAAAATCCTCTCGTTGGTTGTGATGTAGAAAATTGCAGAGAAGGGGGTACCAGCTCAGTTGCTGTCTGCGTCATCTGACCAGGGTCAAAATTACTATGCATTCTTACCATGGCCTTTAAAAGATAGAGGCTTGAAAATGAGGCTATGTGCTTCATCGCGATTGGATGATGAGGATGATGCAGCATTATGTAACCTAACTCATAGTTCCACCCTCATATGAAATGTTTGGATTTTTGAAAAAAATCTTACTTTTTTTTAAAGTTTTAGAGCTTAACAAATTCAAGTTTCTAAATTGTAGAGTTTTAGGAACTATTTATGAAAACTCCAAACGGTTGTAATTTCCTGAACAAAAATGCCGCACCATAATGCCTCATGACATCAGCATCAGTCCTAAAGAAATATCAAAATAGATTATCGTGTAAAAGTTTAACTAATTCAAGTTTCTAAATTCTGATTTTTTTGTAATCCTAGCTAGTTTCTTTATGGGAAAGTTTCAAACATTTTTTAATTCCTAAGCTAAAATGTGAAATACTCTAATACCTCATGACATAAACAATCCTGAAGAAGAAATCTATAAATAGATTATTATTTGTTTAATTTAAAGTTTTTTTGTAAGACTAACCGCTAAGAAACAACAATTCATAAGAAAGTATCTAGTTAGCTGAATTTTTCCCGCAATGATTCATTTTATTTACGGTCTCATAATTATTGTGTCTGGGAATCTCGTCAACAATGATTTCTCTGCATTATTTTCCACTATTATACTTTTCTTTTCTTTTTCTTTAAAAAGAAAAAAAAAAGACCGACGCATTGTTTCACAAATAAAAAAAAGGTTTTTTGGAGAATGACAAACATTATTTTAGGAAATTAGTCAGAGGCCACCAGCCTGTAAGTTATTTTGTGCGACTCGTTTTCTTGATGCATGCTCCATATTTTTTTTTCCTTCGATCAATATAATTATATAAATTGAGTACTTTATGTCTAATAAAGAATGCTAAATATAATTACTTTTAAAACTCAGAGTGGTCCAAAATTACTGTGAAACTATAT